AGAACTATGAAACCGCCAACAATTATATTTTTTCAACTCTCTATCTTCACATTTGAGGAGTAAATTTTTAGAAAAAATATATAAAAATTTGAGTTTAGCTCACTGCGAAAATAATAAAATATATAGCGTGTAATTTAAGAACTCCACAGACTGCCAGCGGCCTAGGCGTGTCTAGATCTTAACGCCATCGCCACATATAATTTGGCAGGCAAAATAATATCACAGCATGTAAAATTTTCATAATTACTGCTAACTCTGTCAAGGATTTTCTTTGATGCTGATGTTTTCCTAATTTTAACCTCAAAAAGACATCAACGCAATACACAAAAAAATATAAATTTTAATATTATTCGGATTTTTATTATAATTTTATTAAAACGTTAAACTATTAGATTTTTATACTGAAAAAATATTATCCTTCGGTACAATAGCGAATGCATTGACCCCTATGCTGCCTAGACCTTAAATGGACGGGTAGATTTATTTACGAGGTAGATCCGTATATTTGTGTTTAAATCGATCTTCGGTGTAATATTAATGAAATATGTTTTTCCCAGAAAATTCTAATAAAATTTATGACCGAAAAAAATGACGCAAACCTTTGCAAGCAAACATTCTACTGCTCCTCGCTATTAAAATTAAAATGGCTGTCATTAAACCCAACATAATTTAAACGATATGACGCTGCGTGACTAGCAAACTATGAACATAACTATAAAATTGTTTAATATATTATATTTTCTCAGTGAACCAACGTTGAATTTACGTTGGATACAGGTATCTCAATAATAAGCATGTCTACTTTTTCCACAAATACACATTATGGAAACATTCCGCATCCATTAAGAATGTTATGTGAAGGTATCTAATAAGTAATTATAACCGAACTTTAAATTAGCTGTTTAGATATGAGAGATATAACACCCGCTTGGGTAATTTGTTAAATTGTTGTACTAACTAAATTTTATAATAATACACTTTCGCTTTTTAAATCCCTTCCGCGTCAAGGGTTTACTCATCAGACAGCCACAATTTTCACTGCTCGATGGTATTATGATTTTCAAAAAAGATTATTCTCATTCACGCGCATTTCACTATCTTAGCACCGAAACTTTTTATGAAAAAAACCGAAATTTTTAGTCTCTATAATTCAGAACTTTCAGAATGTTATATAGAGGATTCATATCATAGGTGTAGATAAAGTCTTGGATGCAACTGTTATAATTAGATAAACAAAAAAACCCACATTCGTATTTTAATACCCCTCATTATACAATGCAACTGTTGTAACAAAATAATAACTATAATAGGACTCCTAAGAGCATCCTCAAATTTGAGATACAAAGATCCCGTAAATTGCCTGCAAGTAAGCGAAATTATCGTAAAAATATAAAATTTAAAAAGATTACTTCAATTCAGTTTATGTGAAAAGTGACAATACTAAAAGAAACTTTTATTAGTACAGATATAATGTAAACTAAGCTTAGGTAACAAACAACACTCGGCAGAAACGGACTAGGACACAATATGTGCTTGCAGTGCACCAGCAATCCTATCGCCCCAGTTTTTACTGTTTATTTGCGGACAACATAAACGTGTACCAAATTTCCTATCCTCAAATCCTGAATAGCTAACAACACATTCAACTATAACCTCTACGGCCAAGGTATTAAGAAAACAATGCTAAAAGAACAAGCATCTGTGTAACTAGGTCACCTCCGGCCTTTAAGCTGCGAACGTCGGTGTAGTGTATTGGTTTTTCCTTACTCCAACCTATTTCGTAACATCTTGACAAATCTCTGAATGTCATAGCGTTTACCAGATTTCATTCTTATTACGTCCATTACTACCAGTTCCGTTTACAAATCATGGCCAAATAAATTTGAAATCGGTGTTATTTAAATTGCTCGACTTCCTTGAAATAAAACAAACGGAAACGTATTTTTGATAATGAATAACAAAACCGTAACATAAATTGTTGAGCACGACTCGAATCGGTATCAAATAGAGCATTAACAATTTCGTGATTAAAAAAGGTAAGGTAGTCGGAATAATGGAAATGAAATAAATAAAAGCTCGAGAAGAAATCTTTGGTGCACGCGCTGCGCGAGCGCAGGGCCAATGAACGGTGACAGGTGCGCCGACCAATCCCCGCGCTCCGCTCTACTTTACGCGGCTCCGTTGAAAATCACTGCTCATGTTAGAATTATGTCTCATATCCTTTTCTACCCTGTTGTGAATGTGCAATATCAGAGCGAGAGACTTGCTGTTCAGAGGATGTCGCATATTTACTGGGCATTCTGTAATCTTTACGCAGCCTTTGTTTACTGATCGATCAAAGATTGCTTTCCTTTTTCAGATACTTATTACGGTAAACTTGCCTGTCGGGAAAGACAATCTCGATATTGTGATCGACAATTTTGTCTGCTTTCAAGATAACAGATATATTTATAGCTATAAAATAAACAAATCACTGTATTTCATTCATTATATTCGAATGCGTTGCACTTATAGCTGTCGATGTCCTATAAGAATGCTTTCGTCGAAGCTTAGTTAATCATGCATTAGACGAAGTTTATTCCTTTGCATACAAATGTCCTTCCTGTCGTTTCAACCGCTACCGACCTCGCTGTACCAAACTTTCTAAAGCGCTTAGTCACTATTGGTGTTTAGCTAAGGCTAATGGAGGCCAAGCATTACTAATAAATATAAAATTACAAAGCATACAATCTGGACCGACACCGACAGCCAGGTCAAATATAAAATATCTACCGATAATAAAACTTTAACATGATCGCTAGAACTGCGCCGCCCGCTAAACGGGCGCCAATATTCGCTTGTTTTATTTACATCGCGTGTAAAAAATTGGCAAGCGGCCCAGTCCTGCAGACGGGCGACCGACCAACCGGCTCGATATCACACCAATTTTGAATCCTAATGCAGATAAACAGGTTTACGGCACACGAGGCGGATAAACTGGAGAAATAAATCTACTTACACGAGACCGTTGGTTTCGTCACGACCGTATATACAGAACGTTTGTCTTGATATTATTATGAACATCGATATCGAGTGACTATCGCTCATCTACGTCAGTCAGGTGGCTTTGAATTATGAAACGTATCGTTACTGCGTCGAACAGGAACGATTAGCCCACATAGAAAGCGCTTGCAGTACTTGGTACGGTCTGCAGGGAAAGCTGATCTCGTTTAAACCGGCCTGCACTGCCGACACAGTTCTTTCGTTGCACCGTTTGTGATCTAATTATGTAGGCTCTAGGAGCCGATCAGATAGGAAACAGACGAGGAACTGGAATCAGCGGAACCGGTCGCTCTCATAACGGCAAACTTTGCTGTTGGATCGCGTTAATATCGTAAACTATCTATTTACACCTTTGAAATAACAGGCGATGATTGGTAACTAAAGTCAATAATCATGAATTCTTGAAAACGTTTGTTAAGTGACGTTTTATTCAAAATACATTTATTTTGATATTTTTTTTTATTAAAGTTTTCATTTGCCTCAAAATTAATGGTTCCAATAACTCTCAGTGAACGGATTAAACGGTTAAACACAACAATGTTTCAATACCAATTTATAAATAAACGTTTTCAGTTTCAAGGTTTCCGTGTTTACTTTTCTTGAGAAACTTAGAACTGTGTCTTTTTCTTCATCACTTCATTTCTACGTGATTTATCACTAAATTGAATTGTGTACCACATTCTAATGAGTCAAGAGGACTTTATCGTTATGGGACGTGATCTGTTACGGTGATAGTGACTAGCCATAATGATAAAGAACAAAACACTTCCATTTCTAGACAGAAACTGTTATTGTTCCGGCATTCCTTTATCATTAAACCTTAAGAATACTTTTAAGCGATAATAACAACTACTGCTCCAAAGATATATAATTATATGCTGCACCACTTTTGAAGTGTTTGGGTGTTGTGTGTATGTGAAGTCATCACATACGGTTGAACTTGATAAAACTGGTCCATACGTCATGCTCGTGAACGAGTGCTGTCAGTAGGGGATTTTATTTTATTTTACCATTCACCGTCAGCTCATCTTAGTTTATTTCCTGATTTCGTGTAGCTAAGAAATGACACTTTTTTAAACCGCCATTACAGGTACCTTTTCTGTGTTTTTGTAGCGACATTGAAGGCACTTTGAATACTTATCTTCCACATATTTACTTCGTTTGTCACGCATTATAAGTACTTTTATTATCAATAAAGGAATCATATACAACCAAGTAAACACGCAATATTAATAATTTTCTATATTAGTCAGCTTATGATGTGTCCGTTATTAATGTATTTATTGAAGTCACGCCCTGCTAAATCTCTAATGGACATTCTGTGTATATTGCTTGAATAAATATTTGATCTCTAGCTTATCTTAAAGTAGTAAAAATATATAACCGTGTAACCTATGCAGAAGAAGAGATGACACCGCAAATGTATACTAATATTATTTAAAGCTGAAAGCTTTGTTTGTTTGGTTGGTTGAATGCGCGGAACTACTGGTACGATACGAAAAAGTATTTTTATGTTAGTGAGTGTATATATCGAGCAAAGCATGAACTATATAACATTATACAACGACAAATAGGAGCAGAGCACTAATGAGAAATTCATGCAAAAATTAAAAAAAATACATTTCGTACCTTCCGCTGCGTAAACGCTAAGTTACACAAAAATCATGTATGACGAAATCATTACTACTCTATATACGAGTAAGTTCTATAAATGTCTGCCACCGCATATGTCTATTTTTTTAATGGTAACCCAATATGACCTTTTCCTCTAATTAGTGCGGGTGAACCGCAGGGCACCTCAAGTAAAATATAATAATCAAACCACAAAGAAAAACTTAGGAATACCTTTAAAGGTATGCGTGGAAAGAACCCTGTAAGTATGTTGTTAGGTTGAGTGTGTGTTATGTCCGCTATTTACTGTTTTAATAATATTTCCATCATAGAAAGGCTCACCATACCTGTGTAAACTGCGAAGATATCTTGGTGTGGTCTTCCTGATAGACTTTTCTGGTTTTCCTGCGCTCTGCCATGAGAGCAGTGAGCCTGTCGAGGGCGCGGGACTCCAGTGCCTCTGCATTAGCCTTTATCAGTTTGCTAGTGCTCTCCCACTCTTCAGTCATCGTACGCCACGCAGATGCTATCACGGATCCTGGAGGAGAAATGATTGATGAACATGTGACTTATTTAATACGTATAGTGATGGCCGGTCCATATTATCCCAGTAACATTCCAGTCCAGCAATTGAATCCAGTGCTGGAATACTACTTGAATAATATTGAACCAGCACTGGATAGACTTGACGGTCTTCTTTTCATTTCAGCTCACCCATTCCAGCGACACTACTGGCATTCCAGTGCGAACATTTTCAAACTGCTTCTTTGTAACCATTGTTACTATATGCTTACTAGTTGGATAGTTTTTAAAAGACTGGAATAATGTGAACAATGTAATCCAGTCTAGCTGGGATGGTTTGATTAGCTGGATTAATGAACTAGAATAATAAAAAGAACTGGAATAATATAAACCTAAAAGCTGTCAGTTAGCGTAAGTCGGAGCGCGGTAAACGAATATTAGATGCACGCAGGATTTCACACACTGAAACCTGCGAAATTATAAAAAAGTATATCGTTATCATGCTTCATAAAGAAAGCCGGACAAGTACAAGTTGGACTCGCTCACCGAGGGTTCCATGGGAGTTTTAAGGTACGCAACATAAACTGTCGTATCTTTTTTTTAAGTTAACTTAGAAGTGTGATATTTTACGCAGCTTTAAGGTAGACCTGAATGTATGGTTTAAATTTGAACTCGATACCTGTACGCTTTCCGGTGACAAAGTTTGGTGAATCAAACCAGAATCTAGCCCAGTTATATATAGTTATATATATACAAGGATAATAGCATGTGTAACTTAAAAACACACCGGCCAATTTGAGAACCTCCTCCGTTTTGAAGTCTGTAAAAATAAATCCGCTTCCATTAAAGTTAACCCAAGTATTTAAGTATGTTTATTGGCATGACACCGACTTCAAATGTTGTTAACTTTCCTTCTAATGTACTTTAGATTTAATTTTAGGATAACAATAATTTCTTTAATTAGTACTTTATTACGGTTTTACGGAGCCAGTTATATTTTAGCTAAAAAAGTTTACAATTTTTTACTTTTTGAAAAGTAAACATCAGCTAGTTTTAAGTACTTGGCCCAGATTATGGTGGATCGGTGTGCAATTTATTTAAGTTAGAATAGCCCAATATAAACTGGGGTTTTATTTTACTTTTTTTATTTTCTCTATTCAAGGACGTTAATTTTTGAAGAGTTTTTCTGGTAGATACTTCAATATATTAGGTCCACTTCACTATACCATATGAATTGTGACAAACGTAAATTGCTTGGCTGGCAAACAAAGAGTAATCTTATTGCAACAACTCGTGGTATACTTAATATTGATTAGTTACGATGGCCATATTATTATGTGGTCTTCATTATCAGTTCCAATTCTCCAGATGGCGCATTCCGAGTGTAAAAGGAAGGCTTAATATAAAAATGTCTAAACTACCAGGAGATGTGCCTTTTTGAAGTTTCGTGGATTTCTCCTGGTTTGGAATCCTAACCTCATAACCGTGGGATCGCTTGGAAGGTTTCACCTTCTCGTTCAAACAAAAAAAAACTGAATCGGTCCATTCGTCTTCAAATAGTCGAAGAACACACTTAAAACGAAACTCATTGCCAATAGTGACAACATGTGATCATAACCGCAACTTTTGTATCAGTGCAGAAATCCGTTTCACTTTCAAATTGTTTGTTTACTAACAGCAAAAAAATCTTTAAAAGTATTCCGTCTTATTTTCAAAAGTGTTTAATCTTGTAATCAGCTTGCCTTTTTACTAAATGCGTTAAAAATAGTAAACAAGTAGTCAAGAAATGCTATAATAGAAAAGATATTTTTTCTCTCTTTCAGTCATATCATTATTCGTATTAGTCGAGCTAGAGAAAAAGTATATTTCCTTATTGAATCTACACATATGACCCTACAAAATAAGGTAAAAACCATCTTTGTACAAAAATTTTCGTAACGATACTACAGTCCATACTACGATGGGCATTTCCTTTTCCTGTCAATCATAATTTTATTGTAAGATTGTCTTTGGTTGTAAACACACTTATTCTTACTATAGTACGCTATATATTTTACTTTTTTATATGTTTATATTAAATTAACTTTCCCTTCTTTCCTATCTCGGCTTCGTTCCTCTCTTTTACTATCTCCATTCTATCTCGCTCTCTTTCCCGTCCTAGAGTGCCAATATACAAGCACAATTGAAAAATTGCACAATATACAAACATACGCTTAGTTACATTTATTGTAAAAAAACATGTACAGAATTCAATAAAGGAAATACAAAAAGACTCTTGCAAAAGCGCTTATTAATAAGAGAAAATGATGTTTCACATAATTGTTCTCATACTAATTAATGAATCTTGAAATGACAAGATACCCATTTTATGGAACATAAAAAGAACAAAATTATATGAATCATCTAATTTGTTAGTTTTAGAATGGAATGCGTAAAAACCGATCACTTGATGAACAACGCACGAAAAAGCAACGAATATCAACAGTTCGGACCCCCTGGAATAAGACATAGCATAACCCACAATCTTTGTTATTCTGTAAAGCAAAAGCAAACTAGCCTCAGGCTTAAATGTTGTTTAAGTAAATAAAGGAACCATCATCACGAAATTTCATCAATATGAAATCTACACGGACAAATTTGTAAGCAAAAGTTAGAAATCTGAAGAACGTGTTTAAGAATGGCAATCTCATAGCTATATTTATTTTCACTCACACACACACACACACACACATATCTTCCTATAATAAAAGAATATCTATCATTGAACCTCCGATGTACCTACTCTCATCTAAAAATTCACATTATCAATCGTAGAACGCATGAAATTGATAGAATTTCCCAATCATTCAATACTATACAGCCGGAACACTAATCTATCCGATTTTCTGTCAATAAGCATGACAAATAAGATTGTGAAACAAAATTTTTCGACAAAGTTCGAATGATTGAATCCGATAATGAGTCACGTAGATTCCAAAATTTCTTTACGATAAAAAATCTACAGTCACGATTGAGAAATATAGTTTTTTTTTCGTTGGAAAATAATTTTTGGCTAATATTTTTTTTACAGCCTCTTTAGCTCAATGATCGATTTACTTGATGAACTACTTAGGATCAATGCCAGATGGAATTATTGTTAAATGGATCCAAAGAAAAGTCTAAAAGCTTCCAATCAGAATAAAGTGAAATATTATTTTAGCGTATGAAAAACTATAAAGATAAATATTAGGTAACCGTTATAACGATTTTATCTCACAACGTTAATGTTAAAAACGATTTAAAGAATATGGCAAGTTGCATAAATATATGTAGTTCCATGAACAATATTAATTTTATAATTTACGACATTAATTTGTTTAGTTAAGTCGTTTGTAAATTATACAATAACGGATTCTTGTTTAATTCATATAACTTTATTATAAATAACCAATATAAACGGGAAAATATCATCGTCTAGTTCGTATACTATTTTCTAGTTGAACAGCCTTTTTATTAAAATCGTTTTGTGGAGTAGCTTTGTGTGTAAAACAAACGCATAGGGATTGTCCTTCAATCTTTTGTCTGTAAGTAACTGTACAAGACTTGCATTCCAACCTCTCTTATCGTAACACCGACACAATGCAACTACCTAGGTGCCTTATTACTTCGAAACTAATTTGAACTCTAGTGCTAGCTTTGTAAATAGTAAAAGAAACTTTTTCGTTCAAAAATCCTTTGCCTACGTCAAACTACAGTATACCTCATAACGAGGTTTGCTTATTCAGGTGTAATATGAACACTGAGCAACGTAACAAAGAAACAGACGTTGAAATAACACCCGCCTAACATCATCTCGTATGAAAACAACATTTACATCATAAATTAATACCTGACCCAGCGAACTTCGTACCGCCCTAAAAATAGGGGCTGGTGGTAGAAGGGTGAAAATTTAGGGTTGTATGTATTTAGGTATGATTTATCATAAAAAAATAAAATCAAACAATTTTGTCCCAAAAAAATTAAGGGTGTGCCACCCTTAACATTTAGTGGGATGAAAAATAGATGTTGCCCGATTCTCAGACCTACTGAATATGCATATCTGCAAAATTTCACGAAAATCGGTCGAGCCGTTTCGGAGAAGTGTGGTAACTAACATTGTGACACGAGAATTTTATATATTAGAAGATAAATTTACTCAAAAGCTCTAACAGGTTCCATGTGACAAAGAGGGTATTTTTGAAATGTTGATAAACATTTCCACACTCCATGCATTGCAAATGAATTTAAGTACTCTTTGAATGGAAAAAAAAGTATCGAGTCGATTTTTTAAAAATAAACGATCTCTAACCATTAAGTTCCTCGCATTTATCCATCTTCTGCCCTTGCGCAGCGGCAGCGGAGAGAGCTAGGGCGTATTCTCGATCGCTTTTCATCTTAGCCTGGAGGCTTCGCTTCATCGCCTCCATGAGCCTCAGCTCCGCGTCCTGGCGGGCCAGGAGCGCTTCGTGCGCCGCCCGTCCCGCTCCCGTCGACGCGTATCCCATGGTCAACAACCAAAGCTCAACACATCGCAACACAACACACAACTCACATCACTTTCCTTTATCACCACCACCGTTTGTACGTCGCGACTAATTTTATCCAGACTCCGAAACGAGTCTCACGATTTTCTTTTATTTTTTTTATTGTTAACGCTCGTCTGAAATCAAAAGCTACGGAACAAAAAACAGTTTCGATAGGATGGTTAGTGGTGCGGAGGCGAACGCGTCGTATACGTCCGTGCGATAGCGGCGCGCGACCGGAATGCCATCTACAGAGACAACGCGGGCCAACTAACTAGCAGCACTTCTTCGAATAAACCTTGCTAACAACACGCTTGTGTCACAAATAACCACAAATATATCAACTAAACCGAACGAATCTATTATTTAGTCCTTTATTGCAATAGGATTTTCAAGTTGCCATTCAGAAATTTGAAGAATCCTGACAAAACCACCCGAAATTTAATATGTACAAAGGTCGGAAAATTTTGTCATAAACTACAAACACTGTGCGAGCGGATAGCTTTATAAATCAAAAACTGATTTCTCTTATACCTGAGGTAATTTTCTTTACAAAGACGAAGCTATAAAACACCATCATCGTCCAAATTACGTACTCCAGAAAGCTATGTAATCCATTGATGTTTCTGCAGGTCTTTAGTAACGTCTGCGGACTGTCCAGGTGTATAATCAGTTGTCTAGCTAGTTCCCTATGACTTTACTCACCATCAGAAACAGAGCATTAGATTATTTTTGTGGTCTTCTTTTAGATTTGCTTGGTCTATGATTTGTTTTTAACATGGCGGTTCTTTTCCTGTCGGGTGATCCAATTTAAGCGCGAAATCCACTATGCCCTACCTTTTCCTACTACATCCACAAAAATGCTATAGACAATTATGAACATATTGTGATGTTAATTTTGAATCCATTAAGTATTGAGTAGTCGTTAGGTTGTTAAAATTTTTCAAAGCTTGGATTTTCATGTTTCCCCTTATTTTGATTTTCCCCTGAGACTCACAATTACAAAAGACATATACTAAGGCCAAATTTCATTAGGATTGAAGTATATTTAAAGGTTGCAAATGTTGGCCACTTTTATCTCACAGTAAAACGGACTTGGAACTTCACACATAAAAAAAGTCTAAACAAACGCATAATTTATAGAAACTTCTTTGTTTTATTAATTGATGTTATATTGTTTTCAAAATTAATTGTTATATAATCTTTTTTGTTCTCAAGAATATAGCTGGGTGGTTTAAAAAAATGAAACCTTTCAAATGTTTTTATATAATAGTATAGTATAAATATATCACAATAGTAAAAATCGTTCAAAAATTCAAAACCGTACAACATGTTTGTTAGACTTTTTTGAAAAGTATACTTAAACGTAAGGAACAACGTTCCATTTCAAAAACAGAGAGCTTTTAATCTACATAATTTGCTATAGATCAAAAGCTCTCTCCCTACCATCTCGTCTAGAAAATCTTAACAAATTCAAAACAGGGTCATGTATTTTCCTGCTTTTTTTTAAATCAAATGATCCTGATATCCCTATTTTCCGGAAATTTCACAGTATGTGGAATTTAATTGGTAAAAAGTCAACATAGAATCCAGTTGATGGCTTTCTAGAAGTAAAACGAGCGAGAATAGTTAACTACAATCAAAATGTCCGCAAAAATGGAAGTTTTTTAGGAGGTTGAATAAATGCAGTGAAAATTTTGAGTTAAACGATCTTATTAAGCTGCCATTCGAAGGAAAAAATAATTTATAGCAGTGTTTGAAAAATATTTTTAAAGCAAAAATTACAATTAAGTACAACTTTTGTTGCCAAAGGTTGAGACTAATACATGTAAAAAGGAAAAAAACACGTCTGCTTTTCCAAAAAACTACCTACAATGTCAAAAAGAACCAATCTTTAATTAAATAAAACTAGTTTTTACGGGTTAATGCACGAAACTTTATTTATTTATTGACGTTTCGCAGCCTTTTCAGGTCTGCATCGTCAGAATAATGTTTTTTTATTTAAAATTGTCGAGCTACCTTCGAAAGACTTATATTGAGCGTTCGGTTATTTCATTGGAAGATTTTTAAAAATTTTATTGTCTATGTATGAATTTATTATTTAATTTATTTAATAAAGTATTTTATTTAAAATTCTTGTTTGTAACTCGGGTAAAAGAACATATCGCAGATATGAAACATAGGCGCGAAAATAAATCTGCAGGGTGTGAACATGCATTAGGGGGACCAAACCACTACATTAGATTTGATAGACCACAGATCCTTGCAGCTGAACGGCGGTTCGTTCCTCGAATGATGCGCGAGGCTATTGAGATTTAAAAATATCCTAATTTCAATAGGGAAGATGGTTGGTATATACCACCAGCTTGGGAACGTATTATACAGGAGATAAAATCCCAACCAGGTAATAATACCATTACCGTGCTCACAGGTCTTTATATGCAATCACAGTAATGTACGATCATTGCTGTGAGGCAGTTGGCTGATGTCCTTACGTTTATGGAATTACGGAATATGGCTTACGTTCCGTGCAGCCTGGGCAGCAATCGAGTAAAACAAGGCCTACGAGAACAAGATCTATAAAAAAATTTGAAGGTACGCAACATAAACGAACGTATCCTTTTTTGACGTTAACTTAGAAGTTTAATTTTTTCGCAGCTTCAAGAGACCGAAGACTTGAGTTTATAGTTTAATTTTCAACACGATGCATCCACCCGCTTCCGAGATACATGGTCTTGCTTCACGGACAGATAGAAAAACGGCCGTACTTTTTATTTGGATTAACTTATAAGTTTGATTTTTTTCACAGCTACAAAGGACCACAGACTTGAGTGTATGGTTTAAATTTCAACTCGATACCTCGACACGTTTCCTAGACAAAGGATCTTGACAGACAGACGGACGACAAAGTGATCTTATATGGGTTCGGTTTTTTTCTTTTGAGGTACGGAACACTATATATACAGCCAATTCTTCTTTAAAAATTCTTTAAATTAAATTTTAAGACAACAGAGACTAACTCTGACAATATTAACTGTAATGAAAAATTTGATTCGAATTTTGAGGCTTCAGTATTTTACCATTCCCATATATAAATAAAAATTGTAAAAATAATGGTATCAACCTTGTCCATCAAAATATTCAAGGTATGTCAGGCAAAGAGTTAGAATTGGAGCTATTTATGAATTATAATAATATTGATATAATGTGTGTTACAGAACACTGGCTAAAGAGCCATCAGCTTATTTTTAATTTTAGTAACCACCATGTTTCTAGCTCGTTCAGCAGAAAAAAGATATTGCATGGCGGTTCATTAATAATTACCAAGAAGAATTTTAGATGTAAGGAAAGAAATGACCTCGTATGTCTGTCTCTTGAACGAGTTACTGAAATAGCATGTATAGAGTGTGAAAAATTCATTGTTGTTAGTGTATATAAACCTCCTTGTGCCATTCATTTGAACATTTTTTGAAAATTATGGAGGATGTTCTATTCAAAATTAGTAAAAGCCGAAAAATAATTGTTATCTGTGGAGACTTTAATATTAACATACTAGACGCATGTTCAACAACCTCTAACTTTTTAAATTTATTCAAGTCTTATGACTTGGAAAATGTTTTTAATGAACCTACAAGAATTACCAAAACAAGTGCAACTTGCATTGACAATATTTTCACAAACAAAAAACCCAGCCAAAAATCAATTATTAATATGTTGCACTCAGATCATTGTGGTCAATTAGTATCATTCCCTCGAAAAAATGTTGAAGTTCAAAGAACGAGAATAAATTTTACCCCAATAAATAGAAGTCGAATGGAAATGTTCAAAAATAGTTTGACTGTAAAGCTACCATGGTTGCCTTATAACCATTTCCCAGATAAGCTATATAATTTCTTATTTGAAGTAATAAATTCTGAATTTTCAAATATTTTCACAACAAAAACTAAGACGATCAGTAATCGTCTAGTCTTTAGTTTAGGTATCTACAATAGCAGGAATAAGTTATATGATTTGTATAGCCAAAAGTCGTATAATTTTGATCCAATATTTCTTAACTATGTAAGAAATTACTCTAAAGTTTTCAAAAGAGCCTGTTCCACTGCTAAGTCAATTTATTTAAAGAATAATATTAAAAATTCAACTAATAAAATTAAAGAAACTTGGAATATTATAAACAGTGAAACTGGTAGAAGTCAAGCTAACTGCCGTAATATTAACCTAAAAATTGATAATGTGAATGTCAAAGTTGATTCGGAAGTAGCGACGGAGTTCGAAAAGTTTTTCTCAGATGTTTCCCTACAGATTACTAAATCACTTCAGTCGTCTTCCACTTCAGCTGAACAGCTACTTAAACAATATGTATCGACGTGCAATGATGACTTTGAATGTACAACTGTTAATTATAAAGATATTATCAAAACATTTAAAACTCTCGACTTAAAGAAATCTATGGATCTTTGGGGACTGTCTGTCAAAACAATCTCCAACATTATAACTGTTATTGTTCCTTATTTAGCTGTCGTGTTTAACAGTTGTATTAAATCTGGTGTATTTCCTGACTTGATGAAGCAAAGTAAAATTATACCGTTATTTAAATCTGGTGAAACCTCAGATCCAACCAATTTTCGACCGGTTTCTATTCTACCAACTTTAAGTAAGATCTTTGAGAGACTAATACTCAATCAACTCTTGAAGCATTTCAATAAACATAACTTATTTCATAAGAAACAATTTGGGTTTACTCGGGGTCGATCCACCATTGATGCGGGAGTTGAATTGTTAAAGGAGGTTTTTTCTGCTTGGGAAGAATCACGAGATGCTTTTGGTATTTTCTGTGATCTATCTAAAGCTTTTGATTGTGTTAACCATGATACCCTCGTCAGGAAATTACGCCATTACGGCATTAGGAACAAGGCTCTCGACCTTATGACTTCATACTTGTCCAATAGAATACAGAAGGTTGACATAAATGGTAAAAGATCTCCAGGATCTTTAGTCACAATAGGTGTTCCGCAGGGCTCGATTCTCGGTCCATTTCTCTTTCCAGTGTATATAAATGACTTGCCTTACTACATAAAAGACAATCATGATATTGTGTTGTTTGCGGATGACACCTCATTGATTTTCAAAATAAATAGACAATTAAATGATTTTGACGAAGTGAACAATGCACTTGCAAAAGTAGTTTATTGGTTTAATATTAACAACTTGTTGCTTAATGAGAAAAAAACCAAGTTAGTTAGATTTTCTACACCAAATGTCAGAAGTGTAGAAACTAATATATATATATAAATGGAGTGGAATTGAAGCCTGTGGAAAGTACCACTTTCTTAGGAGTGACGCTAGATTCCAGATTGCAATGGGGTTTACATATTGCAAAAATATCGGGTAAACTTAGCTCTGCGGCGTACGCTGTTAAAACTATTAGACAACTTACTGACGTGAATACGGCTAGAATGGTTTATTTCAGTTATTTTCATAGCATTATGTCATATGGGATTCTTCTCTGGGGGAGTGCAGCAGATATTAATACCACCTTTGTACTGCAAAAACGGGCTATTAGAGCAATTTATCAACTACATCCGCGTGACTCCCTCAGAGAAAAGTTCAAGGAGA